TGAGCTCTGAGCTCCGAGCTCCAGCCCTGCCCGGAGGATGCTCCTGCCGGGGCTGTCCTTGGGAACGCGCTCCCGTGGAGGACGCTGGAACAGCGGGACGCGGCTCTCCGGAAAATCCATCTGCGGGGCGGCTTCCCCCGGCCGCCGGGCGCTGCCGGGCCCCGGGCCGGCGGGCGGGTGACACGGGCACAGGTGAGGAGCCGAGGGCTCGCTGCCCCTCGGCCGGCTCTGCGGGATGCTCGGCATGGCTGCACCGTCCTCCTCCTCCTCCTGTGCCCTGCCGGCAGCCGATCCGGCGGCTGGCAGAGAGCCTGCTCAGTCCCCAGGCAGCTGCTTCACCTTCAAGCCTGCGAGCGACGCTTAGGCAGCGGAGGAGACGGGATAATTTCCAACAGCCTGCAGGACATCCTGACTCCCAGCCGTGCCAACGGAAGCAGAACCTTCCCTTCCTGAGTGCCGGACCCAGAGGTGACGGGGCCTGGTGGGACAGAGCCGTGGTGGTCGGCAGCCCTGGGGACTGAAAGTGCTGGGCAGTGTCTGTGCTTTGGGTGCCAGCTCAGAGCCTGCCCGGGCTGAGGTGACTTTGGGGCTGCAGTGCTGTGGGGAGAGGGTGAGGAGAGGTGCTGGGGTGTGGATCAGGGCAGGGAGGCTGGGTGAGGGAGCCCCTGCTCAGGAGGCTGGGGGCAGAAATGGCATAAGGATTGGCTGGTCATTAGTGGGAAAACAGGTCCAGGCTAGAGCTGGAAGGTGCTCCTTGCACAAAGGGAAGTGGCTATGAAATCACGGCCAGAGGTGCAAGATGATCCCATGGAAGAGGAGTTTTAAAATGCAAGTGAACAAACAGCAAGTACCCATCAGGGATAAATCCAGATCTTCCTTTCCAGAGCACCAATTCCATAGGGACCCAGTATCTTGCTGAAAGTAAAGCCACACCTATAAGGACTCTTCAAGGCCCCTACGACTGTCATGGACCTTACATCCCAACAGATAATCCTGATGCACAGATATCCATGGACAGAGGACACAGGGGATCCCATGTCTGGCACATCCCTGGCTGGGTCAGGGTAAATGGCTGGTGTGGTAACAGCTGGCACTCTTCCCTCCATGTGCATCCCTCCATCACCACTCTGGGCATCACCATCACCCCTGACACCCACCGCCACCAAGGTCAGAGCAGAAAGAAATGCTGGGGGACAAGGGATGTTCCTGTTCTGGGACCTCACCAGTCCCTCCCCACCAGGGGAGGGAGGGAGGAAGGTGAGGGGCACAGCAGTGACCTGCCTGGAGCCATTTTCTTCAGTGCTGCTTCCTCCCATCCCCTCCTGGGTTTTGCCCCTGGAGACTGTCAGGTTCCTCTTCACTCACACCGGACTGCAGTGGCTGTCCTGGTGTCCTGGTCCTGTCCTTACAGCAAACTGACCCTGGACTGGGATCTGCCCCCAGCCTGGACACCATCTCCCCTCAAAGCCAGGTTTGCCCTGGCCCCAGCAGTCCCTGCTTGTAGGATCCAGCAGCTCTGCTCCCCAGGCCAGCCTGATGCAGCTGCTGCAGAGCTGGTGGTGTGACATTGGACAAGCAGGGCTGCACATGAAAGGCACAGTCCTGGCCAGAGCATCTCCCCACTGTCTGCTGCCCACTGCACCCCTCTGTGAGCCCAGCCAGGGTCCCTCAGGAGGAGCCAGCTGGCAGCATCGTGTTCCAAGCAGGGGCCCAGAGGTGGCCAGAAGTGATGTGCCCAAAGGTGCATTCGGGGGCAGGCAGGGAGAGAAGGCAGGTCCGGACTTCCCTGTTCGAGGTCTCTGCCCATCAGCATGGATGGGCACTGATGAGTGACCAGGGACACCTGCAGATGTGGGTGTGCACCCGCCGTGTGCCCAGCGGGCAGGAGGGGCAGGGCTCAGTCCCAGGAGAGCAGCAGACGTAGGTGGGTGCAGCAAAGGTACAGGGGACAGCTTGCTGCCCAGGTGGCACCGGGAACTGAAAAATGCCCTGGGTCAAGCACTGTGTTCTGACTCCCTCTGCTCCTGGTCTCCCTCACATCCAGTCTCTCTCTACCAGCTCATGCCCCATTTTCCACCAGCACCTTCATTTTCCTGCTGTGGTCTCCACAGGTCTGTGTCCCCTCCCATGCTCTCCCTTCACATGCACCTCGTCAGCATGCTGGTGCTTTGGCAGAGGGGAGGAAGAGCAGCCATGCTGGCAGGTGGGAGCACACCAGGCTCCAGTTGTGCACCATCAGAGGTGTGTAAGGGTCAGGACATGCACCTCCTCAGCAGAGCAAACTTTTCTGCTCCTAGGAGCCTGGGCCATGGCACATCCCCACACAACATCCCTACTGCTTTCCTCCTACCCTGGGTGAGTGGCCATGGCCAGGACACACTCTTCAGTCTCCATCAAGTTTTCTGCACAAGGAGCAGCCCAAGGGGCCAGGTGTAGGTTCCAGAGGTTACATCCTGGGTGTCCTGCTCAGCTGCAGCTGGCACAGGCTGGTGTGTGACTGGCAGGGCCAAGCCAGAGCACGGGGAGCTTTGAGCAGCAGAGGGAAGGTGTTGCAAGGCTTTCCTGAGGACATTCCTGAGCATGAGGACCTTGGTGTTCTGATGCTTCAGAGGCAGAGGATACACTGCATCCCAGCATCTCAGCTTCCTCTTTTTACCCTGACTGTGGTCCTTTGTCATGACCAAATTTGAGTGGAACCAAATAAGCCATTTTGCAAAGGAAGTGCATCAGCATCTTTCCTGCAGCATCCAGGGGCATTTCATGGCCAAGGTAGCACCTGGCAAGGGGAATGTCTTGGTTTGAGAAGACAGGTGTGTGCTAAAAAGGGCAGGAGCCTACCTTGAAATAGAAAATGTTAACCCCCTCCCTCCAAATTATCATAATTTTGAAATTAAGGGGCTCTCAGGCAAAGATATGGGAGCAGGAATAACAGTTCCTAATTAGGAAAATTAAAAATACAAATGCAATAGTACAAAACAAACCACTGCCAGAGTCAGAACATTCCCTGACCCCCTGTGGGTCAGGGTGGTGGCACAGTCCCATCCCATGGGGGCTCAGCCCTCCTGCAGTGCCAGCTGTGGTTCTGCTGGAGCAGGGATCCTGCACAAGGCTGGAGTTTTCCTCTGAAGCTCCAGGGCTGCTGGAGATGGACCTGCTCTCCCTCTGGGAATGCAGGGCAGGAGAAAGCTGCTCCTCTGGGAATGCAGTGGGCAAAGGCTGCTGGGGTGTTCCAGGCTCAGATTGTATCCAGGTAGGAATGCTTGGCTCCTGCCCTGGGTGGAGCATCTCCCCATGGGATGATGGAATTTGATCAGCCCTGCAGGGACACTCCCTGGCCATGGACAGCAGAGATCTGCTGGAGGGAGGATTGGCTGTGGGAGAGATAAAGAAAACTGCCCCATGGACAGAGGAGAACTGCCCC